CATGTAATGGGGGATCACCATGCTTTCTTTTTGTAGTTGATTTTTAGTTTGATAACTTTATGGTCAGAGAAGATACTTGGTATGATTTTGATCTGCATGTATGTGCTGATGTTTGTCTTGAGAACCAGTCTGTGGTTGATCCTGGAAAATGATCCATGTGTATTAGGAAAAAATGTGTATTTGGCTTTTCAGGGGGTTCTTTAAATGTCAGGTCCAAGTGATGGGCCATTGTATCCTTGTTTATTTTTTGTTTTGTTCATCTGCCCATTGGCCTCCCACCACATTCATATTTTCTCCAGTGTCAGTTTTCAGAGATGGTGGTGACTGTCTTATGTACTTTGGCGCTCCTTCCTTTGGTGGCTATATTGATGGGTTTGTCTCTTCCTGGTGTCCTCTTGATCATTATATAGATTCCATCCCTCTCTCTTGTCACCTTTTTCTTAGCTGGAAATCGTTTTACCCGATAGAAGTATGGCTGCCCCTGCCTTCTTTTGGGGGCCATTTGCTAGTAGAAATGTTTTCTAACCTTTAACTTTCAGTCTGGAAAGTTTCTCTCTGGAACTTGGTTTTCCTGGAGGCAGCAGAAGTGGGGTTCAGTCTTCTAGTCCAACCAGCTACTTTCTTTTATTGGTGAATTTAGTTCATTAATGTTTGGGGTGATTATTGATATGTGAGGTCTATTGCTGTCATTCTGTTATTTTGTGGTTCTGTTTAATTTCTTTGTGCTCATTCCTTTGTTGGGATCTTAAAGGTCCTTCTAATACTATTTGGAGTGGGAGTTTAGTTGTAGCTAATTCTCAAGTATTTTGTTAGAGAACAAGCATTTCCTCCTTTATTATAGAAAGAGATCTCTGCAGGGTAAAGTGTTCTTGTCTGGCATTATTTTTATTGGCATTTTCTTTTGCTGACATTTTATTTTTCTCGTTCATGGAGATGGGAGATTAGGTATTCTACCTCCTTTCTGAGATTTTATCTTGTTTCATTTGGAGCATGTTCCTGTTTTTCCTCATTTTGCTTCAATTTCTATATTTATTTCTAAGTCAAAACAGTTACCTTTCTCAGTCTTGGAGTGGTCCTGTATAGGAGATGAACCTTATCTTTTTTTCTTTTTTTTAAGATTTATTTATTTATACATACAGAACCAGGATACAGGCCAGAGGTGCAGGGGCAGTGAGAGGATTCACCAGAGACAGAGTGGGGAGCAGAACAGGCCAACTGATGAAGTACACTGCTGAGGGGAGCAGCGGGCGGGTCAGGAGAGGCCTGCTGCACCATGTGGGTCACCTCTGGGGCGGGGATTGAACTCATGCTGAAGTGGCTTTAGCTTCTTAGTGCTGTGCTTTACCTCACTGTGCCACCAGGGAGGGCCTGAACTTTATCTTTTAACACTGCCTTTGCTTTTGGTTGTGTTTCGAAACTTTGTGATTGTCTAAGCAGCTTGATTTGACTTTGATAGGCCCCAGTTCTTGAGGCTGTGCCAGTACCTGCCTGTGATCCAGAGGAATGGACCTCTGTCAACACCTAGTTTCTGGCTGTTTGAAACTGGACAGCCTTTTTCAAAGTTTGCAAATATATACAGTCCAATAGGGCCTCTGTCATTCAACCTGCTGGTCTCCACAACAAATGATCTGGAGGTGACTCCTGGGTGACAGTTGAAAAAATCAGGGTTCCAAATAATAAATTCCTTCTTGGAAGGTACTGGCAGGCTGCTGCAAGGCCAAGATTAAGTACACAGTTCGGGTCTCCCTCTCTATATCCCTTGAGAACACCTCCCTAATCTCTAATTGTATGAAAACCTGAAGTCTGTCCATGAAGCTGAAGGTACAGAACAGGCAAACATGTTTTATTTCCCCCTCACCACAAAACTGGGGGTGTGTCTCTATCAGTTGGCTGTGCCCAAGGGGTGACAGTCTCTAAGACCTTCCACTCCAGTTGTTATAGTCTGGTAGGACCCAGGAACCTAAGTCCCGCCACCCTCCTCCCCTACCATACCAGGGTCAGGCAGTTAAGGGGCCTACACCTGAGGTCTTAGCTATGCTGTGAGCTAGCAGGCTGTGGCGTATGCAGGTGTCAGCAAGGCAACTGGAGGGTGAGTGAAGGTGTTGGGCCCCACTGATGACTTTGAGCGTTTGCATCTGCAGACTTAGCAGCCATTTATTCCTATCACACTAAGCAGTTGAGCAGGGGAATACTGCCTCGATGTCTACCCACACACCTGTCCTCACCAGCAAGGTAGACAGAAGTGTAAAGAAAACAGTGGCACCTGCCAGCATTTCCTCCCTGGAAGGTGTTGCAACTGACCCCTGGTACTCCTGCTCTACACTGTCGTAGGGTGGTGACTCTGTGTGTGGGTTCTATCAGAAGAACCCACATGCTCCAGAGCCCCAGGGTTACCATGTATGCATGTCCCCATTGGATTTCAAATTCATACATTTAAAGTCCTGTCTCTTTAGTGATGGTTCCAATAGTTGGGGTGTCTGATGTGGGAACCAACCCCTTGCTCCTCAAGTAGGTGCTCACTCCTTGTGATGGCCCTCCCGGTTGTGGATCACCATGCTGGGTTGGGTTCTCTGTGAACCCCCCTCCCTCTGCTGTCCTACTTATTTTGATGTTACCCTTTATTCTTTATTTTTATGGAGATGTTCAGCTGTTCAGCGGATAATTCTTTTTTTAGGGAAATTACTCCATATGTTGGTGTATCCCTGAGAAGTTAATTCAGGCGCTTCCTAGTTCAACATCTTGCCTCTGACCCAACAGGTTCTTTTTTTTTTTTTTTTTTTTAGGTTTTTTTATTTGTGCATACAGAGCTGGGGTACAGGCCAGAGGTGCAGGGGTGGTGAGAGGATTCACCAGAGACAGAGTGGGGAGCAGAACAGGCAGATCAACGAAATACATTGCTGAGGGAAGCAGCAGGTGGGTCAGGAGAGGTCTGCCCACACCATATGGGTCACCTCCAGGGCAGGGATCAAACTCATGCTGAAGTGGCTTTAGCTTCTCAGTAATGTGCTTTAACCTGCTGTGCCACCATGGAGGGCCCACAGGCTCTTGCTTAACAGAAAATTTACATTATTTTCCTCACAAGCCTTTATTTTCCTTCCACTTACCCCATAATACTTTATTCTGTGTGATACATTTTTATGCTTGTAATATTTTATTAATCTCCATAGAAAATGGTGTATGTAAATTTAAATTTATTTTGCAAAACTTCTTGTGATTATAAAAGCACTAAATGTTATGTATTCTACAGGGTTGAATAGATTATCACATTAATAATAAATTTTACTATTAAGAAGTAAAATTTCTTTGAACTGTATCTTTATATGTAGTTTAGAAAAGTAATTAAGTGGAAATGGAAAGGATTTTGTTATAGCAACATTGCTCAATCCTTAGAATACTTTGAGTTATATGCCCACAACTACATAATAATCTGTCATCAGTTTGTCTCAATAAATGTTTTATTTTAGAATCGTTTTGATTTACAGCAGTTACGAAGACAATGAGTACAGAGAGTTCCTCAGTATCCCTCACCCAGTTTCCCTGTTGTAAACACCTTGCAAAGTCTCAAACATTCATCACAGCTAAGAAAGCAGCACTGGGACATCATCACTGTTCACTACGCCTGGACATTCTGCTCCCAATGATCTATTGACTCTTAACTCAATTTGTTATTTCTTCAGTTTTGTTGAAAGCACAGAATTAGAAACATCTGACTTGTGAAGGAGTTTGTCATCCAGCCTTTCTTTTTCTTGCTTCCTGGAAAGTATCAAAACCGGCATTATTGGGACTTACCATGTAATTATTGTTTCTCTTTTGCTTGTTAAATCTGATAGCCTCCAGTTACCAAAATAGTGATAATGGTAATATATCTTTGCTAATGCCATATTTCTTGACAGAATGTTTTTTGTCTTTATCATTTGGATGGAAACCTTTGGAGATGCAGGCATAGCTCTTTTAGTTTATAAGAAATGCTCAAGGCTAGTCATAAACCTGAATGCCAATATAGTCCTATTGTTACAGCAGTCAGCGAAATTAAACATTATTTTTCAGTGTAAGTGAAAAATGTTAATATGTTAATGAACTTAAATCTAGATTTTGATAATCTTTAGGCTAAGGGAAAAGTTGAAGTCTCTCAACTAAAATTACCATCGTTCCCACTATTTTCGCTCTGCAATATATGAATGCAGAAAACCCCCCCAAACAAGCCAGAACACCCACTTCTAATACAAAATTTCATTCTCACCTATGATATGGACAAGACTGGGAAACAGGCAGCCTGCCAGCAGGGTGGTGAGCTGTGCTCGTAGGCTCCAGGAAGTGGGGGAGCAGGAGGGGCCTGCGGGTGCCTGCGTGGACACTGGCCACGGCTGTGACGGTCATTCCAGGGCAGACTGGTTTTAGGAAACAGTACACTAAGAACTTGAGGAGCTGGAAATAAATGTAGTGAAACCTATTTGTGCAACATCCCCCGTGGAGGCCTCTTGGGAGCCCCAAGGTCACACAGTTCACTCTGGTGCTGGCAAGAGGCTGGAACATGTGCTCACTACAGGGGAGGGAATTTCCAGGGGGGGGCAGGTGGACTCAACAGTCAGCCCTGTGAACATTTCTCTAAGGGCTGGAGGTGCCTTTGGTCCACATTTCCACTCTTTGAGAGCCAATGACCTTGGATAGTTTGGTTCCACCCCCTCAAATTTGAATAACGTATAACCAACTAGAAAGTGAAGGCCTTGAATTAAAAGACATTTTTACTGTGTCTGTTGAAGTTGTTACTATAAGGTAGTAGCTTGAAGTATTTTTTATTATAAAACAAGCAAAATGCAATGCAGTATTCTTCACAGCACTCTCAGACTTCCAAATAAGCCTGCAGCTCCCACTTTGAGAAATGCTGAACATGGGCTGTGATTGAATTTACTCTATTCTCTGAGTATTCCGTTAGCAATGTGCAGAATTGTGTAGTTTCTGCCTGTGTGTGAGCCTGACACCAACTGTTGTGTTTGTGCAAGAAGAAGCAGGGAGAAGTCAGCAAGGCGGCCAGCGCCGACAGCACGACCGAGGGCACGCCTGCCGACGGCTTCACGGTCCTCTCCACCAAGAGCCTCTTCCTCGGCCAGAAGGTAGGCGCACGCGCGGCCTGGCCGTGCTCACTCTCGGGCCCTGGGCGGACAAGTGTCTTCTGTGGGAAGGAGGGCCTGGGGTTCCAGGAGCCGCTCTGGCCGGTGGCTGCGGGTGGAGGGAGGGACAGCTAGGAAGAGGAGACAGAGGTGAAGACCAGGGACAAGGCTCCTGGGGGCGGGGCGGGGTGTGTTCAGGAGCATCCCGGCATGGGTGGAGACAAACCACTGGAAGTCAAACCTGGTCCTGGAACAGGAAGCACGAGCAGGCAGCCGCTTGTTCTGGGGACACTGGGTTGTTGGTAGAGGTACTTGTGGTGCACTGAGCCCCTGATGACTGCCGAAGCCAGTCATTGGTTCGCTTTAACAGAGGGCGTATGTTTTCAGCAGCCCCAGTGATGCAGCTTTGCCAGGACGCCGTGGTTTTGTAAAAGATGTTCGCTTTTGTTGAAAATAAAAATGATGCAAAGGCTTTTAAGACCTGAGAGTGAGCGTTAATATTTCTCTATGAACGCCAAAAAAGGGGTGGAGAGAAAGGGAATTACAAAAATCATTAAATACATTGCTAGATGCTATTTGATCTGCTTTGTAAATTGTGCTTAGTGTGCCACGACTTGGTTCTGAAGCTGCATCATTTTTAAACCCTGTCGATTTCGTTTTGCCTCTCAGTGACACAGTCCCCCTGCTCCTGTCCTTGAGTGCTCCTCCTTCCCCACCCCTCTCCCTGTCACTAATTGCACTCAGGCTTTCATGATTGCAATTCCTGTGGTGTTCCAGAAAGTAACCATTACAGTTTATATTTTATAACCATTATCTGTATTTTGTATGCATTTTTCAAAGGAAAAATTAAGCCGCACTAACTGTCATCTTAAGGTCTGGGGCTTTGAAAGTTTTTGCTTAAAATATTTTAAATTGATTTTAAAAATTTCAGTGCAGCAGTGAAGGCAGCCACTGGGTCTGCTTCCATACCTGTCACGCCCTTTGGGTAGCACATGAAGAAGTCATCGACCTGTCGTCCAACTTGCTTTTGTTTCAACTCAAGTGTGAAAATCCCTTGCTACTTAGACCTGTGTTGTGCCCTTTGGATCCCTAATGCAGTCAGCCAGGTCTGGGAGCCCATTTGGCAGGTAGAGCAGTTCGGTCCCTGGGTCACCCTCTCCCTCTCTCCTGACTATGGTCTCTCCCGTGTGTTCCTGCTGAGTCCTGCTGGCCACATGCAGCCAATCACAGTCTCAGTGCCTCACAGCCATTTCCCAAAAAGCCACTTACCCACACAAATATTTGCACAAATGCAGATGCCCTTCTAGATCTTTGGATCAATGTCTGGGTTCTTCTGCTTGGGGTCCCCAGAAAAGATGTGGCGAAGGCTGCAGACATCTTTCTAGCTCTTCTGTGAGGCTGAGCACTTGGCAACCAAACAAAATCTTCTCCATTTTGGGTATCTCAGGCCCAGGCCCCATAGGAGCACACATACCCAGAGGTACAAATCCAGTTAGAACTGACTATCCCACTCAGGGCTGAAGAAGGGAAGTCCAAAAGATTATAGAGGAATACTGACATTCTGTAACGATTTACAGACGCATCACCTAGTATCAAGAACTAGAGGAAAGTGGAAGAAGTATGCTTGGCAGTGAAACCGATGTGCCTGTTTGGTTTCTTAATTCTTGGAGGGATAATCTGAAATGACTGGTTGACTAGAACCCAGTGTGGAATGGTGAGCTGTATGCGCAGGGGTGGTGTGTAGAGACCTGCCCACCACTTGCTTCCTCTTCACTGGCCCCACAGTGCAGCTTCCTGAGCCAAGACTCACATCCTGGACCAAGCAGCCTCAGTTCAAGCCCTGCAGACCTCCTTTAGCAGCATAAATGGCATCTTCCCAAATGTAGGTTTACCACTGAAGCAGGATAAAGTCAGCCTGACCACCAGCGTAGGAAACCCAGGTGCCAGTCACCCTCCCCTCTGGCGCCCCACACCCCCGCTGTGCAGGGAGGGTGAGTGCTTACAATAGGGAACAGTATCGTGAGCCTTACTTTCGGCTCTCGATTGGCTGTTACTGGCAGGGCAGGTCATGGTAGAGAGTGCCTAAGAGACAGGACTCAAAACTGACACTTGACGATTTTTACACAAAGCACATTTTCAAATGTTTTCATTACCGACTTTAATTTTGACTTAGATTTTAGGAAATGTTTCTAAATGGGTACTTTTAAATGATGACAGTGAGGTACCCTCTGTTCTCAGGACCTGTTTCTCCATCTGTGATGATGAAACCGAGTGCCTGAATATTGCCAGCTAGCTGGGCTGGGGAAAGGTGATACTGTGCTGGCCAGCCCGGAGCAGCATGGTTGCTAAGCTACTCACAGGAGCAGCCGCCAGGGCTTAGCAGCCTGGGACCTAATCGTTGTTGATGATGTATTTCACATAACGAAGTCCCAAGAGTAATTGCTCTCATTACTGTGTGATTTTACCCAACCTTCACACACGTGGTTGAGTTGTTTTCCAAAAGAAAACAGTGCTGTGAATTGCAGTCACCTAAATGTTTTTGTTTTGTGGTTCAATGGCGATTCAAGGCTTCTTTTCAGAGATTTAAAAATCCCTTGGCTTGATTTCCAATAGCATTTCCATAAACCTTGCTCAGTGGGAGGAAACAATTTCATTTTCCTTGGAGGCTCAGTATTTTCTGAAGCAGCAGGAAGATGGTGCAAGGAGGGATGGGTGTGCCTCCCCAGCCATCAAAACTATGGGTTTCTCCCCTGATCCTACGCCTCCCCCAGGGGCTGGGAGAACAGCAGGGAGGGAAAGGCCATCACTTCCTACTCAGTGACTGACAGTGGCACTTGAGGAAATGGATGAGGCCGAGAAGAGGGACTCAGCTCCTGAGCCTCAGCAGAGCCCACCCGTGTCCTCGTGGCTGTGCACCATATTCCAGCCTGAAACCAGCCAGGGTCACCATAAGCTTGGGCCTCCGAGGACTTTGGGCCAGGACATGTGCTGACTGGTAGCACAGCAGATAGGGCAAACCCTTCTCTTCACCCAGAGGCAAGGGCAGGAGTGGCCTGCCCCTGTAGCATGGCCACAGGGACAACGTGGTTCTCCACGAGGAGTTGAACAACAGATTTATGAAAGACGTCCCCTTGCCATCCTCCGTAGCTGAGGTGGACTTTGAGGATTGGACAAGAATTGCATTTTATGTAACTCAAACAAGGAAGAGAGATCAGCAACTCTTCTTCCTTCCTTGTCTTTTAGGAAATAAGATACCAAAAGTTGACAATTATAGGCTGAATTTAGCATGCTCAAATAATATTTAATAATCACTTTTCTTTACTAAAAGTGAATTTATGATTATACTATACATACAAACAAAAAAGCCTTGTACAATTTCCTGCAGCCAAGTAGGTCATGCCAGGGAAGCCTGGAGGTCTGTCCAGTAGCTCGCAGCGCCGGCAGCCTCCCTGTCTCTGGCAGGCTGCCTCCTGACCCGCCCTAAGAGGTGGCTGCCAGCCTGCCTTGCAGGAAGGCCAGGTGGGCTCCATGCCACTGCGGGTCTGAGCCAGGCTGAAGCTGCGTGCCTCAGCCCTGCACCTCTGTTAGCCCTGCTTTAAGGGAGGCTCAGTTCATCTCAGCCTCAGCTCAGGATGTTTGGTGCTCAGTTCCAGCTCTACATGCCAGCAGAAACCTGGGCACCATTTTAGGCATGTTGGCGGCCTAATCCTCCACTTGGGGTGGACAAGACAGAGGAGGAGGCAGCCCACCTGGGTCCCTTTAAGGAGTTTATTCTCTAGCTCAAACCCTGACCAGACAACAAAGGGTAGCAGGGGCGGGTGTAACCACTGGAGGGAGAGTTGGGGAGTGTCTCCTCAAGCCAAGCAGGCTGAGGATTATCAGGCCCCATGGGGGAAGCGATTTGAAAGGACCCTGGCTGTAGTTTACTCCCAGGGCCATATCAAGCAGGACCCCCTTCTGCACTCTAGCCTTGGGTCATGCTCTACAGATACTTTTTCCCCCATTCTATGTGGTTTAACCCTTAAATTTTCACCCTTCCTAAGGAAGAGACATAGAAGTACTTACCTTATGTAAGTACTGAGATCATTAATCATTCTTTTGCATCCCAAAAAATCACCTAAATTTGGGGATTTTCAGCTCCCCCAAAATCTGTTTTCTGTGGCCCACAACTGTCTGTGCTGGGACAGTTAGGAGCTAACTAGGGACAGCCACACGTCTGCCTGACTGAAAAGCTCCTGGACCTGTCTGACGAGACCTGGGCTAGGCTACCAGACCTCCTAGGGCTGGGTATCCTGAAGGTCTATTCCTGTGTGTTTACTGGACAGTGGCATCATTTCAGACATGCACACAACATGGCCCAGTTGCATACATGCCATTGGGTTTCTTCTGCCTTGGGCAGCCACTCACCATCTCACTCACTGCTGGCTCCACCCCCAGGCACAGCCTGTCTGAGCCAAGCTGGTCACTCAGTTGTCTTTCCAAAATACCTTAAGCATTTGTTGTGTCCCCACCCCATAGTCCTAAACATACAGCCCCCCTCCCCGCCAGAAAACAGAATAAAAACTTCGTAGTCAAGAGGACTTTTTGTAAATACATATACTCTATGTATTTAATAGCAGCACAATTGCTGCTTGACTCGGCTCCTCTGAGGACCCCACTGAGACCAGCGCTCAGCAGAGTGGAACTGGGAAGCCACTCTTCCAGCCCAGCCCGTCCTCAGAGGTGGGTCCGTGAAACAGCCCCTGATGAGCTCAATTCTAGCTGTCGCGGCTCCGTGAGGAGTCTGCCTCCCAGGGGGCTGCCTGTGGTCAGAAGGGAAGGCCAGGCGGAGGCCGAGCGAGCAGGCGGGGCGTCTGCCCCACACTCCCTGCAGCAGAGCCTGACAGGCTGCCCAGTGAGGCCAAGCCTGCACGGCGCCGGTTCTCTCCCAGAGGCAGGCAGGCTCCTGGGGTTTTCTGGAAGTTTGGATCAGAGTCTGGAAATAGCTGATTTTCCAATAATGCATCTCTGAAACAGATCCATCTGTGTCATTGGAAAAAAGTGTGTGGATTTAAAAAATTTAGATATCTGTAGTTTTTAAACAAAAAAGGAATCTCATAGATTGTCTTATGAGTATACTCACCCATCCCATACCAGGTGGTGTGTTTTTCTTCTTCCCCCAATAAGTTCCTGCTCCTTCAGAGTGGGGGACTTTTTTGTTGTTGTGGGGGGGAAGACTTTCAAACCACATTTTGAGTTTTCATCAACAGCATCTGCCTTGAAGTCAGATGCAGTGCGTACATGATGTCCTAATCAGGCCGTTTCCCTTGCCCCAAACACTGACTGGTCAACTTGAGACACTAGTCTGTGCCCACCAACACCCTCCTCTGGGCATGGCAGGTAGAGCCCTGGCCTGGTGCTTGTCTCTTTTTGCCTCTCTTGCCTTGACATCTGGTGTCTCAGCTTCTGAGAGCTTAGCAGTGTGAGGTTACCCACATGTGCTTCCTCCATAGGGATGTGGCGACTCCTGTATCAGCCTGTAGCACTGGAAACCTTTGCCCAGAAAGTTCAAGTAGAGGAAACTTGTCCTTTGTGTCTCTTTGAATCTAACTAAAGATGAGGCCCACTGCTGTATGGCAGGGCCTAGCCAGAGTCCTGAAGAACAGTTTTATTTCTATAACTGCGCTTTCACAAAGGGTGACTTAGTCCAAGTAGGCCCCATTTTCGAGATCAGAAATGTTTCTTTTTCTGATGCTTAGAGTGTGTCAGGTTTTTGTTTGGTGTCCAACAAAATGTTTGGCCCCAGGAGGTCAGAGACTGGAGCTCAGTTGCCAAGAGCCTCCCTCCCACTGTCTGCAGTAGCCCACCTGGGGCGCTCTCCTGAAGAAAGGCTGCCACTGGCTGGCCCCTAGGGCTGCAGGGCCTCCCCACCTGGGTCACGGTGGTGCTGGGCACCAGCTCCTCAGGCTGCTAGATGATGCTCTTTCCTGCTGCTCTCTGGAATCCGACAGTGAAGAATGGGGATCTCCACAGAGATGGAGTGTTGTGTGGTCCCCTTTGCTATGGGCACTTCTTCCTAAAAGCAGGAAGGGGAAGTGGACCCAGGACTGAGGCCCTAGGGCAGCCCATTCCCTGCCCCCACCGACAGCCGTGTCCAGAATTTAGGGTGCCATATGACTGAAGGCCCGTGTGGCAGTGTATTAACAGTGGGGGAGGAGGCCATTTATGGGGTCTTCACACAGGGCCAGTTGGTTGGGCATTGCTAAAATGTAGGGAAGACACTCAACTCATTGAATGACAGAGTGAGGCCGACAACAGTTGAAAGGACACATTGTTTTGCCCAGAGAATTACTGTTTCTCTCCCTGGTTTTTTCCAGAACTTCAGCATTCTATGACTGACAGGCAGGTAAAATCAGATGTTACTCAGTAACAGATTATTTTCACTCCTTGCAACCCCAGGGAGGGAAGCCAGCCAGCCAGCCAGTAGTCAGTGGCATGAGGACCCATGGACACATGGGGGAGGATGCCAGGCCACTGGAGGTTGGCTCAAACAGCAGAACTCGCTCATCCCGACACTCAGAGAAGGGGAACACCCACAGGCCCCACCCCCAGCCCAGTAATGCATCCTGACAGCTGCTTTACTTTGCTGCTCAGATCAGTTCTTGTAAAGGGAAGTCATTTTTCCAGTCCAGTGTGGCATATGCTTGCCTTTTGGCCCAAGCATCACCCAGCAGTTCTGAAGCCTCAGTCTAGCTGAGGTTTGGCATCCCAAGCGGCATTTGAGTCTTGTCTGAAATGGACTCATTTTAGCCAACGACGCCACAATCCCCCTTTGTGCCCACTGCCCTTTATCTATGTCCCATGGCTCACTTCTCTGTGACTTCCCAGCTGTCCTGTTATTTCCCACCTCATGCTTTTCTTTTCAGCTGAACCTTATTCACAGTGAAATCAGTAATTTAGCCGGCTTTGAGGTGGAGGCCATAATCAATCCTACCAATGCTGACATTGACCTTAAAGATGACCTAGGTAATTGGGGATGGGGTTTGGCACCGCCAGCTGTCAGATGAAAAGTTATGGAACCCAGAATTTAGGCTCTTCATCTTCTGAAACTTAAGATGGTTAAGCCAAATTCCCAAATCCAAGATGATGACCTCATGCGCAGAGACCAAACGTCTGCCTACCCCATGCCATTCCAAATGGGAAATAATCTGTTTCATTGGCGTGATTGGCCACTTCTCCTTGTTTGTAATGCACTGCCGTTTAAATTCTCTTCCATAACAATTAAACTGACTGCTGGTTACTTGGGGGGGAATTTTTTTCAATGTGTTTTTTTAAAATTTGTTTTTAGAACTGAAAAATCTCAGGTAACTACAAAATGATAGTTTCTCCATTTAGGCCTTCATTAGAAATTACTTGAAAAGGGAGGGGATGAAGCTGCATCAATCTGCCATTAAACTGTCTTTAATGGACCAGCAAATTGGTTTTTCCCAAATTCACCACCACCTGTCACTTCAATTTTGTTTATACAGTTGAAAACAGCACATAACTGAGTACCTACTATGTGAATCATTTGGCTAGAGGGTGATGTTAAACAGAAGGGCAGAATGTCATTCTGAGCACGTTCCTGCAGAGGAGAAGTCTGCCCCTGCCTCGCAAGCCGTATGTCTCCCCGCCCCGGGGGACGGCCAGGGTGAGCATCGAGGTGGTCTCAGGTTCCCAGTCTGTGCCTTCCTCTTCGCAGAGAGGAACCACAATAGAGGCTCCTGTCCTTGTAGGTGTGAGCCTTTGCCAGTGCGACCAGGCGGCACAGGCGCCCAGCAAGGCAGCCTGGTGTCCGATGCTCACCCAGTTGCTCATGTGCCGGCTGTTCTCATCTTCGTTGGCCCAGGGCAGAAGCGCTCACTCCAGCATCCAGGCCCGGCCCATGACTGGGAACAACACGGGGTGAGAAGAGGGGGACCGAGACTCAATAATGCCCTGGTAGAACTTGTTTTCCCACTAGTTTATACAGAGACGTTATTTACAAACAAGCAAACAAAACCCAACAACCACAATCTAGAAAAAGCAGGACTCTTACCCAAAGTACATCTTCTATGTAAGCAATATAGCAGTAAGAGTGGCTAGAATAAGAGGTGGGCCTGGGAAAGCGCTTTCTGCGCACCGAGGAGGGGAATTAAAGGCACGCCTCTGCTCATGACCTGCTCATTTTCAGGAGATGGCCCCCAAGGGAGACCGAATGATGACTATCACAAGAATGAAAATCAAAGCTGTATATTCAGTGCTGCCAACAAAATGGAGAAACTGGTTGTTTTGGTTGGCCTGATAGTCCACATTTTCTTTAAAAACAGATGCCATGTTTTAGTAGCCTTCTCAGTGGGGTGCCAGTTTTACAGGCGTTTGCGAAGTGAAATGGGCATTCGTTGTTTCGTTATTTCTTTTAACCTTTGGAAATGATCTCATGTGTGTTTCTCTTTTTTTTTTTTTTTTTGGACTTGTCATTCAAATGTTTAATTTAAACATGTCACGTTTAATATTCCTCCTCCTCCTCCTCCTCCTCTCCTCACCCCCACCCACATGTGCGCACACTCCGTGGACTGATTGCCCCTTGGGCTCAAATACTGGAATCGACCAGGTAGGCCAGCCCTGCCATTGGGGCGCTAGTGAATGTGCCTGTGCGTGGGTCTCGGTCCAACACAGTTGATATACATTTGTTTACCTGTTATAGTTGCAAGTTGTACAGGCTGACATTGCCTCGATCGACAGTGATGCTGTCGTTCACCCGACAAACACTGACTTCTACACCGGTGGTGAAGTAGGTAATGCCTAGCCGGGTGCTGCCGAGTGTGTGTGTGCATGGTCAGTCGGCCGCCGCAGACAGCTTGATCCTTGACAGCTATGCAGGGCTGCATTCATTTCACACTTCCAGCTGTCCTGACCTTCCCAAGGTCTCCCGTCCCCAGGTGGTGACGTGAGCAATACTGCTAGCTGTCAGCCAGGGCGCATCCTGCAGCTCCCAGTTGGGCACACTTCTGGTTTGGAATCTGGTTCATTCTGCATTATTTCTTCGTTTGCTTCATGAGGCACAGCTTTGTTGGAGACTGGGTTCCCACATGATGGCAGGGGGTGGGGGCTAGACTGATGGGCTAAGTGGTATCCGAGACCACTTCCAGGCCTTCTGTGGACCAGACGCAGGATGTCTGCTCGTAGGTCTCTGCCTCCAGAACATCTCTGTCAGAAGCCTGTCCATCCTGGAAATGGCCTTATGATCTCACTGCATAGGGAAATTCTTTGGGAATTTTCTCTCTTCCACCCAGAAGGTGTCCTGTTCCCTGGCAGCTGACTTGACTTGAAAGTGTTAGTTGGCTTTTGATGTTAGGTAGCTGAGCATGTGGGCAAGGCAGAGAGAATTCTCAGGTGCCTAGGCTACGCCTCTAGACTTGAGCAAGAGTGACAGGTAGGGCCCTGCCTGAAGAACAGGCTGAGGCACTTACATGGCAGAGAGGCATCCAGGTGTGATGGCAGGAAAAAAAAAAGCCAAACATGTTTGAAGCACTGTGGGAGCTTGAGGCTTGAGTCCTAGCCCTGCCATGTACTGGTGGTGGGACTGGGCAGTCACTGAACTCCCTGTTGCCTCAGTTTCCCTACTTGAAATTACATTGAGTAATGGAAGCAGAGCACGTTGCGGTGCGTGGCTCATGGCTGGGGCTTATTGTATGGTCTTAATCTCATGTGTGTCTATGATTTTTGCCCTGGAGGTGCTGGTCCCAAGAGCAGCATCTTGAGTGTAGATTCAAAAACTAACATTCCAAGAGAATGGAGTCATTCCCAACCAGTGCAGGAGTGAAGTGTCTTGAGGGGTGAGACCATCAGTGTGTGCCTAGTGTCCTGGACACTGGCAGTGTTAACAGTCTGACTGCCCAGCTGTGTTCACTGTCACTAGCAACCTGTTGTCACAGGCTGCCCAGCCACTGCAGCTTGAACTAATTGCTCCCCTGTGCATTTTTGGATATAGGACATAGAAAGTGGGTAGAAAATGGATCTGCCAGGCTTGCAGGACAAAATGAAATCGGGCTGTTGGCAATTAAGATAAGCTCCCCTTTCACAAGATTTTGAAGGTGTTTAAGAACTTCTAAGTCGTACCATTTAAGAGAGCGCTCTGTTCTTAACCAAGTGAAAACATGATGGAAGGGAAGTATTTCTTTGAAGAAACATAGTCAAGTAGCTAAGGGGTTATCGTTCTGCCAGTAGTGACTAAGACGTTGTTCATCCTGGCAGCCAAGACTCAAATGAAATGATGAGACTGCCTGGGCTAAGTATCTTCCCCAGACCCAAGGAGAGGAGAGAGCCGAGCCGGCTCAGCCTGGTGCGTCTTGCCAGGAGGTAGGTCTGGAGGCTCTGAGAGGAGGCGGCAGGCAGCTGAGGAGTGACGTCAGAGCTAACCATGTCCTCCCAGGCGTGCCCAGTCCTACACTGGACGGGCCCTGGTCTCGCTAGATTAGTGACAGTGCTGCTATTTTTCCCTCTGACCTGTTTGCCCTCAACCCACTGACGGACATGATTAATCTTGGTGACTATGAGTTGGGTCTCTGGCTCATTCCCAGAACCTCGCTCACTCACGCTGCCACAGCTGAAAAAAATCTCAGTGGATCCAAACACCCCAACTAGCTGAGGAGCAAAGACTGTGCCAGAACCAGAACCCAGGTCTTCCAAAGCAGCCCTCCGCGCTCCTTCTGCCCGGTGAACCAGTCCAAGCTAGTACTGACCCCAGACAGCTCTTACAATACCAAAACGATGATGAACCAGATTTGCACATGGTGTCAATTGGTTCCAGCTCCCACTTTGCGAGAGGGGAGAAGAGGAAGCTAGGACATAATCACTGCATTTCTCCTATTTGGTGTAAATTCCTGAGTCCCGAGACTGCTGGAAGAAGGAATGCGAGTGCAGGAATGCTTAGCCCCAGTGATTAACTTTTACCCATCCGAAGTTCTTTCTAACAGTGAAATAGACCACAGGCTTAGCCTGACATTTGTCCAAGCCTAAATTTTCGCTTAGGCTGTTTTGAACACTGATACTTATGCCTGCTTTCTAAGCATGAAATAATGTCCTTGTTCTCATGGGAGTAACACATGTTTATGCTTGGGGGCAAATAAGCCAATTGCTTTACTATTAACCCTGAAGTTAAGCCTAAAAGCAAGAGTCTTACATTGAGTGTTGACAATACAGCCGACATGGGCCTGTTTCTTGTTAAAAAGTACATGTGTGTCTACATGAACATGTGCATACAAGTGTGTGTGGAGGCCCAGTCCTGACTGGGCCGGTTGCCTGCAACCTTAAGGTTCAGTTTTTAAGTTGGGGAAATGCGTTCAGTGTGACATGCAAATTTCACTTAAGTAAAACAAAATCATAAAATTTTAAAGTAAACACTCTTCCTAAGATTATTATTGATGTGTAATTATACATACTAAGTATAAATCAGCCCATTTTCTTAGGAAATACTTTCTATTTTAGAAAGGAGTTGTAATGTTAATATAATACTAATTCCCCTTGACCTTTCAAGTTTCCCATTTTTCCCTCAGGAGTAGATTTGATAGAGAATGAGGACTGAAAACAGTTTTGCCTGGAGCATGCTTCTCTCCCTGAAGCTGGAGAATGGGTTACAGTGCAGTGAGCATAGTGTGGGGTGCGGCCCAGAGCCCTGCAGATCCATTTTTCTCCACGTAAACCTGTTTCAGGTGAACCTGCATTCAGGTCTCACCTGGGTTGGAGCCTCCAGGCCTCCACTTTCTGCACTTTCTGGGGGGTGGAACTGAGTCAGGATCCCCTGAGCCTAGCCTGGCCCGGCCTGGCCCCCTCTCAAGCCCATCAGCTGCTTTCTTTGATGCTGAGTTCTCACCCAAGTCCACGGCTGATGGAGCAGCAGGGCAGCATCTCTGGAGTGGATATGTTCTCCCTCCTGCCACCTGTCTGTTAAAGCCTGCCTGGCTGCTTTCCAAGACAGGCAGAGGAATGGGGGCATGCTTCAGGGGCCAGTGAGGAGGGATGCTGGGCCCGCCAAAAGTACCCTCAGATGGTCCTTCTCAAAGCCAGGTCTTATCTCAACCGGCACTTCCTTGGGGTTACATTCATTTATGCACCCGGGACTTCTTCCATTGGGGTGACTCACAGGCACTGTCTCCCACTAGCTGTGATTCTGTCTTATTTGTGACAGTGCCCAGACTGTCTGCTTTTTCTTCCAGATAGTTTCTGGGCTTAGCTGACCCCTCTAGAACCAAGGGAGGCAGGTTTCTCTGAGATAACCAGACCTAGTCATTACCAGTGACTCCAAAGAGAATTTGGGCTGGTGCCTCCCACTGCACCTGACCGACCCAGACTATGCCAGGTGCACCTTGAATTTTCCAAGACAAACGGTGAATCTTAAGGGGAGTATTTTATCCTCTGCGAGGAAAAGTACTTTAAAATATGCAAAACTGAAGAATCAGAGCTTAAGGAAGACAGACCCCATTTTGGTTAAACTTTAAAGGATGCTGTTGTCGCTGAGATGTTTGACCCAAACTTGTTAAGTGGTATTAATCTTGTTTGGGATCTTGACTTCCAGGTTACCCCAAATCAGAAAACACAATGCTCCTCCCCCCACCCCATGGTGTTTGTTTTAAATCTGCTCCTGGAGAGTTAATCTTTCTTCTGGAGCTTTTTACATAGTACTAGCTCATCTTTAAGCTCTGCTTCTGATGTTGCTCTCCTTTATCTAAGATGATTAGGAATCATTAGTGTGATTACGGAAATACTGTCATACTGTCTGAGGCCTTTTTTTTTTTTTTTTTTTTTGTATTTGCATATGACACCAGAGCTGCAAAATAGGAACAAAGCCTGGTAAAACTGCTGGTCCAAAGGTGGACAGATCTGAACACTTTCTCCTGGGCCTGCTGCCAAGAGCTAGCTGCTTGATGGGAACATGGTATGCTTCTTCTAAAACCTCCTTATTTGGGGGTTCCCCTAGAGAAAAGAAAATTCAGGGGCGGCATCCGCCTTGAAAGCCAGCACCATCTGGTTTCTCATGCTGATGAAAAGCAGAGGACAGGCATGCCTGCAAAGCACAGGCAATGCTCCTCGCGCGTCGCTGGCCCCGTCCAGGACGCCCTGAGTCACCCGTCACTAAGGGGCAGCACAGACAGCTCGGCAGAGCCAGAGCGATAACCAACCGGTGAGGAGTCCCTTCTAAATTTCACTTTTCTGACTCAGCCAAGGCTTAGTTCCTATTTTGCAATGGTATGGAAATTTAGCTGGTGAGATCATTTGAAGTACGTAATCACCTGACATGCTAAGTGTCTGTGTGTGCCCCAAGACACAAAATGGCAGTCTGACCTTGCGCTGTCCTTGTCTAGGGAACACGCTGGAGAAGAAAGGTGGCAAGGAGTTTGTGGAAGCTGTTCTGGAACTCCGGAAAAAGAACGGGCCCTTGGAAGTAGCTGGAGGTGAGAGGTCGGGCTTGAGGAGCTGATATGAGTAGCCCGTGCGGTACTGGGGGAATGATTTTATGAGGTGGCTTAGAAGTCAGAGGCCAATGGCAAGGCAGATGTATCTCAGAGGTGCAGGTAAGTCTATTCATTTGTTGGGGGAACTGCCTTCCCATTTTTTATTCCTAGAAATGCATTTTGAATGTTTTGAGGATAGACCTCAAATTTGAAGGCATTAAAGAAACCAGATTTGGCAAATTTAAGACTTGAGAATTAAAGATAATGATAGAGTTTTCTGTAGCACTGTTAAGAGAGATGCAAGTTAATAATTTTCTTTCAACCACATGTGCTTTTATTGGAAAAAATGTACAGTTTATCATTTGCAAATTATACCTTCCCAGATAAGGGAAGGAGTAAGTGATTGTCCATCTTCCTCCCTGGAACTGCTGCCAGCACATTCAGATCTGGACCTTCTTTTCCCCGGTTACTTGTCTGGTGATTCTGCTCTTATTTAGTATTAGGGAGTTTCCTAATTTTGCATTTCCCAAGAGGTCAGCGGCTCCATGAGGGGGTCACCTCCTAAGCTGCGTTCTTGGGGTACTTGTTGAAAATCAGATTCCATCTCCCCCAGGAACAGATATGCACGTGTGTCACCTTGGGGCTCACGGGAGGCAAGCTGTCACTCTCGCTGGGTTTCGGGCATCATCCTGCTCGCCCCTAGACTCCATGGACTTTGGCCACCAGGATCTGTCACTTCCGCAGTCCCCTCCCTCAGGCTTCTCAGCAGCACCCCGGCCACCGGGCCCAGAGAGATTTCGGAGTCTCTTGAGGCAACATCCCCTGTGATACTACAGAACGCAGGACCCCAAGTCCACTCATTTGGTTTGGCATCCCGAGATGCCATCACGGTGGGGTGAGTTGGTTGTTCCCAGGGGTACTCACTCTTTAGGAAGGTCTCTCTTGTGGACCCAGTCCAGTCCCACACCTCCCCGCATGTGTCAGTGAGCAGCAGCAAGAGTCACTGCAACACTATAAATAGTGGTGTGGCATAACCACCCAGGCCCTGGAGGTGAGGCTGGTGCTCCTGTGTAGCAGACAGCAAAGCCCCTGCCACTTACCTTTGTGCTCCTACTTTCTAACACCACCTGGGCATTGCATCTCTGGGGACAGGAATCCTGGCCAACTTGTTAAATTTGCTGCTGAGTAGAAGACCCAACACTGACAAGTAGTAAATGCTGAGAGCAGACTTAGCCAGGCCCAGCTCTCTGTGGAGCTGTCTAGTTGGAAAAACAAGACTCCTTCCTAGAAAAAAGAATATTTCCGTCAGAACTAAACAGGAGCTGTTAGAAGAGGCAACAGAGACGCCAGTCGGGTTGCTTAGCCGCTCATTAAAAGGGGTGGCTTTCCTAATAGGTTGGTCCTGAACTGTGTCTGGGAGATTTATAGAGACATCATAATTATCTGCACATGAATCCACTTGAGGAGAGGAGGTAGGAGACCCCAAAGGCAATTAACTTGAGGCAGCTAACATTCTGACACATCTGGATGGTTGAGGTGGTATGACTACTGCCTTCTGGGAGCAGAGCTGGCTATAATACTGGCTGAAGTCTCTGGGGGTGCCGCTGCATCCCAGCACCACCCTTCAAGGGGTGAGACCTGGCATCCCCCTGAGAGAAGGTTCAGCAAGCATGTTCCAGCTCACTCTTAGGCTGGAAGCCCAGCCCAGCAGACAGCTACCGCTGTGTCTCCCTGGACAGAGCTGGTGCAGAGTCCGGGGAGACACGCTCCATGGTCCCGGGAGGTGGGTCTGGTGGCATCCTACACCAAGTGGTTTCAGAGAGGGAGAACTCACTTTTTATTTTACCCCCTTCAGCTGCTGTCAGTGCAGGCCACGGCCTGCCCGCCAAGTTTGTGATCCACTGTAACAGTCCAGTGTGGGGTGTGGACAAGTGTGAGGAACTTCTGGAAAAGACGGTGAAGAACTGCCTGGCCTTGGCAGATGATAAGAAGCTGAAGTCCATCGCGTTTCCATCCATCGGCAGTGGCAGGTAGGACTCACGGCCTGCTGGCACACTAGCTGTGGGTACATTGGGCCCGTACCTGGGGAAAGTACAGAGTTGACACACAAGCTCTGCTCTCGTCCAGAAGGCTGGAAGCATGAGGCAGGGCAGAGTGCAAGTGTTCAGCCATGAGGAGGGGGAGCTCAGGAACCACAGGGCACTTTGGCTGAAACAGCAGGTGTCTTCAGACTGGGTAGACCCAGGACACAGGCAGCTACCGTGCTGTAGGCTGGCCCTGTGGCATCATGCGATCCTTCTAGAGACTCGTGATTTACACCCTGAGAAGGAAGACCCTTTTCGGAGCTCCTTCCATTTCCAAGACAACCCTAAGACTATCTGGGGGTTACGGTGCCCGTTGACAGACCAGGAGCTGTGGACCCCCAAGACAGAACTGCCCTTCAGAGCCACAGGTGCCCCCTTACCTCAGTGACGGGACACTCAGAAGCAGGTTTTGGGGACAGAGCTATAATGCAGCTAAGTCTGGTGGCAGACTTCGTGTCCCCCTCAGGATTCGTGCTGGTGGGCCCAGTGCAAGTGTGGTCTCCTCCTGTGATGAGCGGCCTTGCCTCCTTTGAGTGCTCTGTGCTGTTTCATGCACAAAAGGAAGCTGGAGAACCAAAGCAGTATCAGGGCTGTGAGGCGGGACCCGAGGCTCGGCCAGCACCCTACTTCACCATGCAGTGCAAGAGAGCTACTGCGTCCACATCACTTCAAAACTCAACAAACTTTAAATGAAAACCCAAAGAGCAGCTCATGCTTCTGGGGCTGGGGACCATGGTACAGGAGCAACTCCAGAGCAGTTTTTACAAAAGGGGGCTTGGTCTCAGCGGAGGGACCAGCTCCTACCCCTCCCGCAGAGGTGACCTCCGCTAAATGCACCACCTCTCTGGCACAGGCCTGCTTATCAGTGAGCAGGGCTTCGGGCGGCCTTGCCCACAGCCGGGCCTCGGGTCTGTTAATTAGCGCTCGGACCCTCTTTGATCTACTCTGATGAAAGCTGCTTCCGCAGAGAGAAGCAATAGGAGCCTTTATTGGAGGTAATAATTTCACGCTCTTTCCTATGGCTCTTGGGAAATTTTTAATTGAAGCATAAAAGTAATTCCTTTAAAAAGAGCATCTGTTATTACCAACTTATTTACATTTTTCATGAGTAAGAAGTTTTAAAAAATAATCATTTGGAAGCTTTCAAGGCAGCGGCGTGCCCAGGGCAAGCACATGTGCACAACCCCACATCTGCCAGACAGACCTCACCCCGAAGACCCACGCAACAGCTGCCTTCTTTCCTGAGTAAAGAACGGGATCACACCAGAGACGGCCAGTAAATCTCAGTGGGTTTTTAGAAGGGGAAGTAAAGCCGCTTGTTTGTGGCATCCAATGTCTCCAGCGTAAAACTCATGTTAGAATTAATATAAATGCAAATGTGTTGGCAAAGAGCTGTGGTTGCCTTTTCACTCGGCCACGGCTCTGTATCTTGGCACGTGGAGAGTGACCACAGGCCCCGTGAGCCCAGCTGAAAGGCCACTGGAGGTGAGCGAGGCCCCGGGGTATAACCCCAGCCTGGGGCAACCACCCATGGCATCTGGACATCCTGCCTTTGGGCATTTGGCCACAGTATTTATGATGGCCCCAGCCCCCGGCTCTGTTTGGCATTAGGCGGCTACCCCACCCCAGAGGCGTGTTCAAGGGAATAGCTAGCTGGAGGCTTTGATTAGACTCTGCCTAGAGAGTTTAAATTTATACTCTTAAAAGGAAAGCCTCCCTTTCAGGCATAGTCCCTGGCACTGTGCTAACCCTGTACCTGCATTCGCTCACAAGCCCAAGGGGAGCACCACAAACACACTGAAGCCCAGAGGGGTCAGGTCACTCACCTGAGGACACAGCTGGTACCTGTGGAGCCTGAGCCAGGTCCTTCCCTTCAGCTCTGCTGAGTGCGTGGAACTAAGCCTGCTGGTAAGGGGTACCCACCTCTTCCGCTGTGTGCAGGATCACCACAGTGCCTGCACACACTTCACTTGATGGGCTTCTGGGGAATCTTGGAAGTCCCTGACTGGTACAGCAGCCTGCTGTCCCTAATTATGGGCATTAGAACAGAAACTAAGTTAAGACAATGATTCATTAATCTAATAACAAAGGCAAGAGACTGGGTATTTTAGCTTTGCTCCTCTAGCGCCCTGCTCTATGTTTAGGGGCCAAAGTCTGTGGGGGCGGTATTGAGTGCTGGTGAATCAATCCTCCCTTTCTGAGTTTCACCTTGGAGCCCAGTGCTCTCAGTTCAGGCCTCTGCTGGCCTGGTCCTCTTGGGCTCACATGTCTTATGGCTAATACTACTTCAATTAAGCAGTTACTCAATGCCATGTGGGAAAGTGGAAAGGTCCAGGGGTGGAACATAAGGGAAATCAGATTCACACAGGGCTGGCGGCCATTTCGTCCACATCGCCCAAGCCTGCCCCCACCTCCCTTACAGTGCAGAGGGCTAGGTAGACTGGCCCGGGCTCAGGCTGGCTCTTGTCTCAGATTCCTCTTGGGATGCTTGCTTGATCCCTAGAGAAACGGAAACCCCTCTGGGTGGTCGCCTCTGTGGGCCTAGAATCTCTGCCATCCAGACAGGAAGGAGGACGAGCAGCAGTGTAAATAGCCCTCAGTCACCATGAGCAGGCTGACCCAAGAGGGAGTGGACAGATGGCCCACTGGGGCATCTTGCAAGAGCTCAGGGAAACTGAGGCTCCAGACATAATTTGAGTAACTTCAGGGAAAACAATTTGTTCCTCTGTCTGAGACAAAATAGGTCAAAGTCTAAAACTTACCCGTAGAGGAACTCCAGGCACGTGCTACAACTGGCTGAGTGAGAATATGAGTCCCCCATCTCTGAGGCCAGCAGCATCCTTACAGGTACCTTTGGATTAGGAGGTAGCAACGGGAAGGTGAGGACAGAATGACTGTCACAGGGCAGGAAACACAAAGAATTGACTGTGGCTGACAGCTAGTGAGGGAACCAACCAGCCCAGGAGCTGGGCAAGACACCACAGGGATGAGCAGGATGCCCCTGGCCGTGTCAGCTGTCCTGGCATTACTGGCTTGGGCAGCAGCTCCCTGGGGTGCAGACCAATGTGGCACAGGGGTCCTGCAGTGATGGCAGCGGGCCTCCGGCCACAGCTGTTGTGGGTGGGGGCCGGGGGCCGGCTCTCCGTGGAGGGAGCCTTAGAAAGACCCCTGTAGACCCTCCACTTCTGACTGGTCGCGTGTCCTCTCTGCACTACCTCTTCCACACTCGCAGCCCACCCTGCATGCCTCGTGCCACTGCACGAAGACAGGCTGGGGACTCGGCCTGTGGCTCCGTGGCCTGACCTGCCCTGCTGAGAGTCTGTCTGCAGAGAGGCGGACTCCCCAGCCAAAGCCTCTCTGCTCATTTCCCTATAGTTGCCGACAGTCCTGACTGGCTGCTAGAAACACTGGGGCCTACCTGAGAGCACGAGGATTGCCGTCTCTCGCTCTGTTCCTTCCGTGCTGTAGTCTCGGACTGGCTTTCTCTTTCAGGCTGTGGCTGTCAAGGACGGGGGTGGGTTTGGCAACAAGGAATTTTTATGGAAATAAACTTAAAGGAGAAGACCAGACCGGCTGTGTTTTGGTAGCAATCCAGTTTGTGGGCCCTGCTTTTCTCCCCCACTTCTTTCTCCACCTTTGAGCCAGAAGATAATCCTTGGATCAGGTTATAAAATGCATGCTGACAACATGCAGAACAGTGGTTCTCAAATGGTAGTGCCAAGGACCTGTGTCTGACTACAGGTCAGAGCGTTCCCTGGCAGAGCAAAACCCGTCGCCCATGGTTACACTGTGGTGCAGATGTGCTGGACATGGGCAGGACACTGGCATGTTACCGGTGTGCCTCTGAGTCAGCAGGACAGATACCACATTTCACCCAGCCCACAGGGCCTGTGGGCCAGGCCCGGCAGACACAGGAGAAGATGGGCTCCCACCGCCCCTCCCCACAGGCTGCTCTGAAGGGAAGCTCTGCAGACCTGCCCCCAGCCCAGCTCACCTATGCAGCGAGGCTGGGAAAGAGGACCCCAAGGCCTTTCTCGAGTCCACAAGAGGAACCAGAAGCCCCGGGGTTTCCTTTGGCCTGGGTCCCCCGCTCCTGCCACTTCCTCATACCTTTCTCACCAGAGATGAAACTAATGGGGTTGTTGTCATCTGACTAGTCCTTTGGACAGCAGCTGTATCCACTGCTGGAAAATAAACACTTGCTCTTTGTAAGACACTCGGAATGGGCCCTTATTCCAGTGACTATGCCCGCATGGACATGCACCCCACAATGGATGAGTTCCCCACAGGTGTTCCCATTCCTCCAGAATACACGGGAGGGAGGCCCCTGAGAAGCAGCACGTCAGGTGTAGGTTTCAGGCACGTCTTGACCCTCTGTGCCCCTATAAAATAGTTGTTGGGGTGCTAAGAGCAGATTCTTCCCAGACTAAGCTTGCAGACCCCAGAGTGGGGATGGTGTAAGGGGTTACCACTTTCCAGCAAAGCTCTTCTTCCTATGTGCTGTCCCCCAGTCCCCGGCCATAGGCACCCCATTGGTGGTAGAAGGGGCTCCCAGGGAACACCCTTTAAGCTGTCAAGCTCTTCTGTACCACCAGCCCAACAGGCGGTGCTGTGTGTAGAGGAGCATCCCCTCAAGGTCACACCCCACGATTTGGCTTAGGCTCCCCATTCACTGGGTGGGAACATGCCCTAAGTGAGCCCGTCTGTTGGGAACGAGCTCCACTTCTGAAGCATGCAGAAGCGACCAGGGGGTCTCTCGCCAAGCTGGGCGGAGCCCTTACTGGTCACATGTCTCAAGAGCGGTGTCTCTTGGGCTTTGGAATGTTCTGGGCTCTTAGAACTGAGTGTGGCTCTTCAAGCTGTAGTAGCTGAGAACCTACGAGCACGTCGCAAACCAGGTAGAGTGCCCTAAGAACCTATATCTTTCACCTTTAAAAGCCTCTCACCTGCTCGCAGCTCCCCAGCCTGAAGGGCAGCCGCTGCCCAGACACCAGTGCAGCCACAGGCTCAGCACAGACTTGACGAGAACAGACCTGTTGAAGGACAGAAATCCCCATGAGCTCTCCCATCAGCATCCTTAACTGGCAGCTGGAGCAATAATGGACCTGAATCCAGGCCACTGGCTCCCAAGCCCCTGTCGTGCCCACCAGGACAAACTGCCACATTACTACCACTGTCCTGAGTCACAGAGGCCCTGCGGCCATAGTGCTGCCCGGAAACAGACTCTGGCACACAGGAGCAGGGGACATGGTTGCTCATGGAATGTAGCGCCCATTCTGCAGCAGCTGCTGCCCTGCACCCCCAGCTCCCCAGTGCCCTGGCCTTTGAGGGGTTACAGGCTGGTGTGTGCCAGGCATGGAGGCCTACAGCATCCCCAAAACCCTGGGAACCCAGAAGCCAGCACGCGAGGCACAGCCATCCTATCTGTGTGAACGGAGGCCGGAGCCCTGGAGCCAGAGTGGGGTCTCGAGCCCGCTGCTGCCACTCACTGGGGCTGGGGAGACACAGGCGCTGTGCGGCCTCTCAGAACGCTCCTGGCGTGCCTGCTTTCTCTGAAAGTACGCAGAGCCGACTCTCTGGGCAGGGTCGCCTTGCCCCCTTGTCCGGTTGGCCCTGAGGGCCTCCTGGCGGGGGCGGGGAGGGCAGGGGCCCGTGGGCCTTCCCGGCTCTGAACGCTCGCTCTGTCCTGCAGGAACGGTTTCCCGAAGCAGACGGCGGCCCAGCTGATCCTGAAGGCCATCTCCAGTTACTTCGTGTCAACCATGTCCTCTTCCATCAAAACGGTGTATTTTGTGCTTTTTGACAGCGAGAGTATAGGCATCTACGTGCAGGAGATGGCCAAGCTGGACGCCAACTAGGCCGAGGAACTAAGTACCAGCCTGTGCTGCGTCTCCCACCTCCACTTTGGTGGGGGGAGAAAAAACACCCCTTCACGCCTCTCGGGAGGTGGGGCCCTTTCACTTTCAGTTTCGCTCATCTAGGGAAAATACGGTTCTGGTTTCCAGTTTAATTGTTTTTGACCTTCTAAAATGTTTTTTATGTTAGCACTGATAGTTGGCATTACTGTTGTCAAGCACTGTGTTCCAGACCGTGTCTGACTGTAGTGTAACCTAGGAGACTTTATAGTTTTGTTTTATTGAAACCCGCGTGCCGCAGAGCCCGGGAGGGCAGTGTCTCCGTGTGGCCGAATCCAGGAAGCCCCGTGCTGTAACTGTGTGTCGTGGTGCTTTATTGTACACCCAGTGGCGTTCTTTTAACTATAATGTTCCTTTTTTTTCCCCCCCTCAAGAAGAATCATGAATTTGCAGACTTAATTTTGTTTACTTTTTGTCTTAATGATGGATTTGAAAATGAAAGATTTAAAAGACAGAACAGAATCTGTTGTCCTTAATTATATTTGCAATTTGGAATTTGTGTGAACTGATTTAGTAAAATGTTAAACTGTTTCTGTGACTGACATGTTTCAAGTGGGACTGTCTCGACAGGATGGGGGCGGGGCGGGGTGTCGGGCAGCCCAGCCCAGGAAGCCCCAAAAGGTTGTGGAGTGAGTTCAGGTAAAGCCTCTCCTTTCATCCTTGTGACAGTGGCTGGGGCGGGTCCCCACATCGTGGACGGGATGAGGAAGCAGGGAGAGGCTGGCACTCAGTCTGGCCCCTCAGGTGCCAAGCCCCGCATACTCCGGCCCCCTGCTCTCCTGACCTCTCGCTGGCTCACGGCTGGGCCCCCTCGCAGCCAGGGCAGACCCCTGGTCAGATGAAGCTGTGGCAACTCAGGGCCCCTGCCAGGCTGTCGGCCCTCCCACGTGGGTGGCTGTACCGGGAGCTTCCCAGGGGCAAGGCCCTGCCCTCCAGGCCCAGGCCGTGCTGCAGCCTTCCCAGGGTCAGCACGTGGATTACACAGACTGCAGCAGGACCAGGGCTCAGTACTCATCGCCTGACCCTGCTGGCAAAACAGACACTACTTACTTACTTACTTCAGGGTCCTTTTGCCTTAAACTGTACTTGCCTAAGGTGCACATCGGGGATGAAATAAAGAATCATCTTTCCTCCCCAAAGTGATGTTAATGAAACCAAAGTAGTCCTAACCACCCTGCAGCCATCTTTCCTACCAAGAGGCATCTCCTCCTATGTCAAAGAACAAAGATGACTTTTCTGAGTTCCTCCTAAACATAACATGTTGTTAAGACTTAATCCCCTCTCCTCCCCCCACCCCCATCCTTGCTGGGTTCAGTGGAGTTTGACCAAAAGGGTGATGAGGGGGAGGGGAGTGGGGCAGGAGAAGAGGCTGGCTTGGCATCATCTGGTCAGAGAGAGACAGCTTACGATGACTGCACCTCAGAAACAGTAGCCGCCAGCTGTTTGCGTGGACAAGCCATTCCGCCGGGCCGCCGCGCAGCCTAAAGCCCTGCTCCTGCAGGCTGGAGCTTCAGTGTGCGGGTGGCAAGAAGCACAGGTGGGCAGTGTTCTCTGATCACTGGGACCACTTACTGGGGGCCACTCCCTCACAGGCGTCATGTCACTCTGTCCTTGAGATCATCCTACAGGCCAAGTTATTAGAGCCATTTCCAGCTGGAATGCTGAGGCCGCCGTAGGGGCACTCTTCAGGTCTACAGGCGAGATGCTGCCACAGGCCCCCGACGTGCACTCCGCCGAGCCACGGAACACAGTCCTCTGGCCCTGCTGGTATTTCTAGCACCCACACTGAAGCACAGATGTAAAGGGGGTTTAAGTGGCTTCTCTGGGAATTGCCTTTCCTTCCCCTTGGCGAAGGAACACCCCAGAGGCCGCTCCGTCGTTAGCGGAGATCCACACTAGGTGGCGCTAAAAGGATTGGGAGTGAGTGGAGGCGAGGGCAGCCGGCCTCTGCTCTTCCTCGTGTTTGTACAAAAGAATAAATTGCATTTGTCAGGATTTGTGTGAATTATTTATCATAATAACCCAAATGTTTCTAAACTTTCAATAATCCAAGTGCATCGTGCCCCAGAGATGTGGGCTCACTGAAGAAATTCTTTGCAGTGAAGCTGAGGGGAAGAAAGCCACGCCCCCGCCCCTCGCTGGGATTCCCATCATCCCGAACCATCAGTTCTCTAAACTGGGACCAAGGATTGCTCTCTGATATCAGCTTCACGTTTAGAGGGAGAATAAAGAAAACAGCTCATTACTTTCAAAGAAGAAAAAGTATCATTGCAAAGAACCACTTGAAATGCAAGCATGCCTCCATTCAAAAGGCAAGGTTGGAGCTAGTGACCTTTTAGCGAATGAAATTACTCTGGGGGGGCACCTGCAGGCTTCAGAGGCTGGCTTTCAGGAGTGCTGGGAAGCAGAGCCCTCGCCCCTCCATGCAGAACCCGCCTGGCTGGGGGGCATGCGGTTCTGTGATCTCCGGCAGCGCAGAGGCAGAACACCCCTCCCACTGGTTTCTGAGAAGAGATCCTTGCCCTCAGCAGTAGGCTCCGCCCTGATGAATCCAGTTTCCTCCGTGCACCCCTTTAAATGAGAGTGAGACCTAAGATAAGCACCATGTTCCAATGGGAACTGAACTGACAGCAAAACCTGCGTGCACCCATATGTGCGCGCAGAGGGCCTCTGTGCCCGTCTCTCCGTTACTTGGGGCCGCCCTCCGAGGACGGGAGACCATCCCTGCTTCACAGACAGAAGGACAGACGTGGCGCCTGTTTCCTGAGACCACTCGGCTACCCACGGTGGAGCTAGCCCTTGCACCCAACTGGCCGACTCTACTAACAGTGTCTCGACTCCGCGACCCTGGCTCACGCACCCCCAGATTGGGCTCCCCCGGGCCTTCTTGCCTGGCCAGCCTGTGGGGCAGGGGCATAAACAAGCTCCTGGGTGACAGGCAAGCGGGAACGTGTGCTTAGAGCAACTGAGCGGCCGACAGGCTCTGGGGAGGGGGTGTGATTATGGATGGAGCCTCGCATCAGGGGCCTCCCTCAAAGGCACACGAGGCACTGCCTCTTGTCCAGCAGGGAGGGGACCCCAAGAAGCACCTGCTAAATGGGCAGGGTTTCAGAGGCAGGGCGTTCTGCTCTCTGGCTGAGAGGGTTCAAGGAGGTTTTCTTCGAGCAGATAACCGAGTGCGGAACTTTGTAGGAAAGGTTGGAATCTTCCAAGCCCAGAGGGCAAATCAGTGGGTGATGAGAGGCAGGATGGCAGGTAAGCCTCTCAGCCACAGTGGGGAGGGGGGGAGGGACCCACGGGCAGGGACCCACCCCACTGTCTCCCAGGCTGAGAATCTGGCTCTGCACCCCCACTGGTAGCCATGTCAGCACTGGCCCATGCAAGTAGAGCTGAGCCTGTGGATTTAATTATCTGGAAGGCTCCTTCCCTCCCTACTCTTGTTCAGGGACAGCTGGCTACACTTAGCCGCAGCCACGAAGCCGACTTTTCCCATGGAAAGAAGGGAAAAACCGACAAGCAAGGGGCATTCATTTGCAGTCACCCAATCTCACCCCTCCTGACCCCGGGTGCCACCCTGCCTGGTGTCCAGGCACGAGGGTGGGAGCGCAGAGCTGGCCAGCAATGCGCAGCGGGGAATCCCACTTCCTGTCAGTCACCGGGCGGTGCTGCCGCCCCTCATCAGAAGCGGGGTGGCCGGGGTCTGGCCCATGTATTCATTAGCCTCCTTTCCTCTGCCAGGCAGCCCAGCCTGCGTTATCTGGGTGCTGGCCTGGGTGCTGCCTTCCAGTGACCCACCTGCGGGCGTGGGGTGGAGGGCGGGGCTTGCCGCCCCAGAGAAGAAAGGGGACGCTCAATGGCCAGGGGCGAGGCCACCTTTTCTTTGGCTTCTCTTTTATTTATAACTCAGCCTGTTGTGTTTGCTTCTGGGGGCCCAGATATCAAAATAATATCATCACATGACCCTTCTGACAGGAGAAGCAATAAAACTGCTCATTGATCCCGGCCCTCATCACCACCCCTCCATGCTCCTCAGCAAAGGTGTGTAAACAGACTGGCCTTTCTCTGACCCCTGAAAACCAACCCAGCCAGGCTGCTTTGTCAAACAGAGAAGGCGGCTGAGAAAACTTCCCGAGGAGGACACTTTCTCCCCCACTCCCCGGCCCCCGCCAAAGCAGCACACCCACAAACTCACACCCCAGCAGGCGCACCCACACCCCCCACTCCCACCACACGTGCTGCTCCCACACACAGGCACACACAAGCCCACTCACATGCTGAGGCCACCCCGACACTGTCAAGGGTGTGGAACGAAGGGGCACACAGAAAAATCAGCATGGGCTGTGTCCTGCAGAACAGCCAAGGGCCTCCTCGGGTCCACATGGATGTGAATGTGGCTCTTCTGCCAACAGTCCCTTGGGAGTGCTAAGGGGGGAGCACCCCAACTGCCCTCTGGAGCCTGCTGGGCCCCCATGCCCACATGGCGGGGGCGTTGTGGACACGCCCTCGGGCACACGCACAAGTAATGGCTTGCTGCAGCTGTCCCCATGTTGCCGGGTAACAGTCACTGCCTCCGCCTCAGGCTTGTGACCACACGCCATGGACGGCGTGCACAGTCCCGGAGTGACACGCTCCACACCTTGTGTCTAAAGCCGGGAAGTTAAGCCGCCGTCACAGCACGCAACAGCCCGCCCCGGCCCGCGTGGACGCAGGTGGCACACGCCTTGCCCGCGGGAGAGCCGCCAGCCCGGTGCTCAGCAGGTGCCTGGGATTCCAGCGAACGGGCGTCAGACCGCAGCCTGGGTCCTCACGCCACGCGGTCAGCGAGGAGCTGACCCCGCACGAGCCCGGCTCCTGCCACCAGGGCAACGCCACAGTCTGCCAGGCGCCTCGGCCTGCCCAGGTGCCGAGCCGGGCCTGGCCCTCCCTGCCAGGCGGGCTGGGAAACCTGATATTTCTCTACCTTGAAACCGGCTTCCTAAGCTGAAGAGAATAAATTAGAGTTGAGTCCAAATAGACGCAGCTGCGGCAGATGGGCAAATTGATTGGCTTCCCATCTGGGAGATTAAATTCCACTGCCCAAAAATGGCAGCAGGGTAATGAGCTGTCAGTCAAACCTCCCAGAGTCAGGGCCGGGCGCATAATTGAAACCTGGCAGCCCCTCATTAGGTGCCACCGAGGTCCTGGCGATGGGCCCTCACCTTGAGGCACCTCTGAACCCCAGCAGAGAATGCACTAGAGTATCGTCTGCAGGGAAGCGCCACTCCGGGTGAGGGCTGGGCTGGCACGAGGGAGCTTTCCCTGAGCCAAGGGCTTATGGTATGTTTGACAGAATCCCCGATGGCTGGGGATGTGGTGACTCCCACTGAGATGACACCGAGGCCCTCGTTTCCCAGGGGGCCTTCAGGTGACCCCTCCTGTGCTTCCTCATGTATACCAGCCGCCCCAGGGCTTCTCAGAGAATATCACCCCAAACTGCCACCAGGCCCTACCGAGCCCTGACAGACTGCAAGACGTGTGCACACCATGGGTGA